CTTTTTAAAAGCAATGCCAGGGGGCCTACCCCTTAGCTCAGTCCTTTAAGTGGCTGCTTCAACAAAGCAGTCAGGCTCAGGTTGCTGTGGTTCGATCCCACAACTCAAGCCAGCCAAACCTGCCCTGAAGGCATTCGGAGCAAAAAAAAAAAAAAAATCCTTCTAAAAGCAATGCCAGGTTTTTCACTGTTTGGGGCACTAATATCAACTATCAACTGTTAGAATTTCAGATCTTGAAGCAATTCTAGGTTGATCTGTATCAGTTGTACTCAAATTTCTTGGTCTCAGTAGCTCTTTTCACTATGAAAAGTTGTTGAAGTCCACAAAGTTTTCTTTTGGTTTTTTTGGTGATGCTGGAGATCAAATCCAGGGTCTCATACACCAAGTGCCTAAGCACTGAGCCACATCTCCAGACCTTTTTTTTTTTTTTTTTGAGGGGGAGGCAGGAATTGAACTCAGGACCTTGCACTTGCTGCCAGGCAGGTGCTGTTCTGCTGAGGTATATCCCCAGGTCCCAGAATTTTTTTTTTTTGACAGAGTGCTTTCCTCAGTAATCCAGGCTCAGGCCTTACCCTCACCCTCATGAGTGCTAAGATCACAGCTGTGTGCCACCACGTCCAGTGTCATGTGCCTTTATCTACTGACATAGCACGCACGCTACTGACAGTTCCAGCCAAGCTTCTGTCTCCGTCTTGCACTAGCTCTCTGTCTTAGGTCTGAACACACCTGGCTATAGGAAGAACTTGAGTCAGCAATACAAATTCTAAAGCCAGAATGCTATGGGGTTTTGCACAGTGTTGTGATAAAAAGCCATCACATACTTGGATAAACTCCATTTCCTCCTGAGATATCAGTTTCCTTCTGTACTTCTGAGGTAGTGTTTTTATTATTTCTGCAGTGTCTGGTGGACCTGGATACATCAGCAAGTCCGGTGATTTACTCCCTTTAGAATGCTGTGAAATTACAGAGGAGTGAGGCGGGAGCCCGGCAAATCTCAAAGCTTCTGATACTAAAATTAAAAAAAGCAAAAAACCAAATTAGAGTTATATTCCTTAAAAAAATTTTTTTTCTTTGCAGAACTGGGGCTTGAATGCAGGCCCTTGCACTTGCCAGGGAAGTGCTTATTCTACTGAGCCATCTCTCCGGCCCCTCCTTAAAATATTAAGTTATCTACTGTTGCATAGTCATTCGTGAAATGAGATCATTCTTCAAATAATACTTGCAGTGTTGTAACTGTAAGAGGTAAATGCAGAATTATACAGTTGGACAAGATAGCTTGGATAACTGTTCTGCTGGTCTATTGAAAGGAGCAGTGAATACTTACACGTTTTTTCCTCTTCTTTTTCTTTTCTTTCTTTCTTTATTTTTATTTATTTATTTATTTATTTTTTCTCCGGAACCGGAGATTGAACTCAGGTCCTTGCGCTTGCCAGGGAAGCGCTTATTCCACCAAGCCATCTCCCCGGCCCCTCCTCTTTTTAATTTTTTGACCAATTTTACATGTGGTAATCTGAACAATTAATTTGAAGACAATAATATGAACTATAACAACCATTGTTCAATTCCTATTATTTTGTTTAGTGAAATTTTATATTGTTACTGTTTGTTTTTCTTTTTTTTTACTATTTTTAGGGAAGGGTCTACAGGGTGTTCAGGGTCTCACTACTAGATCAGACTCTAGTAACCCACCTGTTTACAGCCTCCCAAGAGCTGGGATCACAGGCGCGAGCCACCGTGCCTTCTCAGCATGGGGGGGGTGGCCTGGGGATCAAACCCCTGCCCCTGTACCTGCTTACAGGCGTTTTAATCTGCTGAGCTATTTGGCTGGCCCTGTTTGTTTTACTATTTTTTATTCTCTTTTTTAAAAAGTCAGAATTACTCCATTGGCTGTAATTTCATACTGTTCTTTTTAAAAGAAGAAATATAGAGTATTTTTTTGTATAAGTTTTGCAGTGCTGAGGATTGAACCCAGGAGCTTGTCTGGGAATAACACGCCCAGCTCTGTGCCGGTGCAAAGGTATCCCACTGTATTGTCTAGGCTGACCTCAAACACCTGGGTTCAAGGGCTCCTTGAGCTTCAGCATCCAAAGCAGCTGGGCCTACTAGTGCAAGCCCAGGCACAGCACGGAGATTGACTGACTGACTGACTGACTGACTGACTGATTGATTGATTGATTGATTGATTTCTGACACAAGGTCTTACCTATGCAGTTCAGGCTGGCCTTGAGCTCACTCTGTAGCCCAGGCCAGTCCTGAACTTGCAATGATCCTCCTGCCTCAGCCTTCTAAGTGCTGGGATTGCAGGGGTGCACCACCATCCCCAGCTCAGCAGAGTTTTAAGTACGTGAACTACTAAAATGAAAACAAGATTGCAAAATAGGTGGGTATAGTGGCATATGCCTGTAATCCAAACTATTGTAGGAGGCTGAGGTAGGAGGATCCCAAGCTTGTGACCAGTCTGGGCAAATCAGCAAGGCCCTGACTCAAAAAAAAAATTTTTTTTTCTTCTGGTACCAGGGATTGAACTCAGGACATTGTGCTTGCCAGGCAGGTGCTTATGCTGCTGAGCTATCTCCCCTACGCAGCTATCTCTCCGGCCCCATATTTTTAAAAGATATGCTGAGGGTGAAGCTCAGTGGTAAAGTACTTGTCTGGCATGCATGTGACCCTCAGTGTGGTACCATAAACAAAGCCTGTAGAACACATGTGGTGACACATGCTTGTAATCCCAGCACTTGGGAGGCTGAGAGAGGAAGATCACTGTGAGTTTGAGGCCAGCCTGGGCTACACAGTGTGTTCAAGGCCAGTCTGGATTGTATAGTGAGACCCTGTCTCAAAAAAAACAAAACAAAACAAAAAAAAGAAAGAAAAAGAAAAGAGAGTGTCTAATGAAATTTTAGATAAGAGTTCAACACACTATGGATATCCCACATTAAGTTTTTTGCCACTTAAGCCCTTACAGAACAACACATGGTATAGTTCAGAGGGAGATCTTACAATGCAGAATAAAAAAGTCAGTAAATTAGTTTTTTCAACATCTTTACATTTGCTTATCTTATTTTTTCCAATAGTTAAGTTAAAAAAAAAAAATCCCCATAAAAATCTATTCAACTTCTTCCCAAATTAAAGATCAAGTATTTAGCTGGGGAGATAGTTTAGTGGTTTAAGTGCCTGCCTGGCAAATGCAAGAACCCGTGTTTGACCCTTGGTACCATATGCTGTGTGGGCGCACCAAGCCGGGCACTAAAACTGGGCATGGTGGTGCACACCTCTAATCCCAGTGCTGGAGAGGCTGAAAACAGGAGGCTCACTAGGAGTCTGAGCTGTGTAGTGAGACCCTGTACCAAATAAATAAATAAATAAATATTAAAAAAGATCACGTATTAACAGAGATAGAGGATCTGCTAAAACAAGAAACATAATCCTTTCAGAATCTTCTTTGTTTGGTGCAGGGTCTTACAATGCACAGTCACTGGCTCAGGTCCCCCAGGGGCAGGGCCAGCACAGTATGTGGTGCCAGGGATTGAACCCCAGTCCCTGTGCTTGCCTAAGCAGGTGCTTAGTCCACTGAGCTATCTCACTAGCCCAGTTTATAGTTTTAATAACTGTTAAAGACTAAGGCAATTTAAGAAAAAGCTACTGACAGAATCAACAGGCAAAGGGGAAGATAAAAGTTCCTGAGCATGGTAGCACACAACTATAATTCCAACACCTGGGTGGCTGAAGCAGGAGGATCACCTTGAGTTCAAGGACAGACGGGCCTACATAGTGAGTTTAAGGCCAACCCGAACTACATGAGACCCTAGCTCAAAAAGAAAAAAAGGGGGCTGGTGAGATGGCTCAGTGGTCTAAAGCACCTACTTAGAACAAGCAAACCACAGGGACCGCGGTTCAATCCCCCAGCACCACATGCCAGCCAGCCCCGCCCCCTGGTGGGCTGAGCAGGCCACACACACACACACACACACACACACACACACACACATAAATAAATAAAATTAAAAAAAGAATAAGAAAACAAAAGAGAAGTTGGTTGGAAGAGAAATACAGGAATATTTAGTATTCCTCACAATCTGCAAATATAAGACTAGGAGAATCTTTTAAAAGACAAAAAAAAAGACAGAAGAGGACTGCTATCAGTAGCACAAGTGCCTGCCTGGCAAGCATAAAACTACTGAGTTTAATTCCTGATATCAAAATAAATAAAATAAATAAGTATATAAATATCCATTAAAAGACAGAAGAAAAGTGGGATAAAAATCCTGCATATAATATAAACTATAATCTCAGTTCCATTAAAAATTCATAGGGGCTGGTGAGATGGCTCAGTGGTCTAAAGCACCTACTTAGAACAAGCTTAGCTAAAGCACAGGGACCACGGTTCAATCCCCCAGCACCACATGCCAGCCAGCCCCGCCCCCTAGTGAGCTGAGCTGGCCACACACACACACACACATAAATAAATAAAATTATTAAAAAAAAATTCATAGAGATATTACTGCTGAGTCATTACTTTGTTTTGTGATTTTGGGGGGTGGCAGGATTTCCGTACGTGGTCAGCCTGGCCTCAAACCTCTGCCTTAGCTGGGATTAACAGGCATGTGCCACCTTGCCTAGTGAGTAGCCCTTTTAAAACAGTGATAATAAAAATGAATTTCTACTTCATGCCCCCAGGGTACCATTTGGATCTATGCTAAAATAGTCTGATTTTAAAATAATTATTACCTATAATCAAAAAGTCATTTCTAAATATCCATCCATACATTCAGGAAAATCTAGAGGAAGGATGACTTACCACTGGGTTTAGGATTGTCTCTTCTGTCAGGGAACCTTATTAATGGTGTATGTGGCTTCACTGCCTAGAGGAAAAACAAAGTGCATTAAAAACCCCTCATTAACTGTAAAAGCAATTACCTCTTTTTTTTTTTGGCGGAACCGGGGATTGAACTCAGGCCCTTGTGCTTGCCAGGCAAGCACTTATTCTACTGAGCCATCTCCCCGGCCCCAGCAATTACCTCTTAATCCTTGTACATAATATAGACTTGCTGAAATACATTACTAGTGACAACTTTGAACTGTCCTGTCCCTCACCCAGGAAAGCTGGTCTGTGAATTATTCATTACATGCTATTCCTAACTTTGTACTTTACACATCACAAGACTTTTACTATCCAACACAACCCAGTGGAGAGGATGATACGGGTTTTGTGTTGAGTGACTTGGCGAGACTGGTGACGTCTCCTGATTTTACTGAGTATGGTTTCCCTATTACGAGAACAGCTGCTGGACTAGAACAGGATGAAGAGCAAACAATCATACTGAATACTATGCAATTAAAAAGTACTTTCTACCTATAAAAATAACATATTTTCTGTAAAAAGAAATTGGAAAAAAATGCAGAAAAGCATAAAGGTGGGCCAGCCAAATAGCTCAGCAGATTAAAGCACCTGCAAGCAGGCTCAGGGCCAGGGGGTTCAATCCCCAGACCTGCTATGCCAACCCCGCCCCTGGGGCGTGCTGAGATGGCAATTGAGACTGGGCATGGTGGCACGTGCCTGTAATCCCTGTAATCCCTCTTGGGAGGCTGTAAACAGGCGGATCAGTATGAGTCCAATCTAGTAGTGAGACCCTGAACACCCTGTAGACCATTTCCTAAAATAAATTAGAAAAAAAAAAAAAAAAGAAAGAAAGAAAAAAGAAAAACACAAAGGAGCAAGCACTATAACTCCAAAATCTACTCAGAACTGATTAAAATATTTGGTAGGTTCCCCCCCACCTCCCAGGTAAGGTCTTACAATGGAGTCCATGCTGGCCCTGAATCCATTATGTAGCTCAAACTTTCCTCAAATCCTCCTGCCTCTGTCTCCTGAGAGTTGGGATTACAGGCATGTGCCACCATGCCTGGCTTGATAGTTTGTCTTTGTCCTTTACCCAAAATACATATATTTTGGAATAATGTTTTTCTAATACATTTTAATCCTAAAATACCAGATACTCTTACACAGGACTTCGAATAAACCTATCAACATGAACTGGGGCCAGGCAGATAGCTCAGTAGAACAAGCGCTTGCCTGGTAAGCACAAGGGCCTGAGTTTAATCACTGGTTCTGCCAAAAAACCCCAAAACAACAACAAAAAAATTGGGGGGTAGGGGAGATGGCTCAGTAGAATAAGCACTTCCCTGGTAAGTGCAAGGGCCTGAGTTCAATCCCTGGTTCCACCAAAAAAAGAAAAAAGAAAAAAAAAAGAATACACAATACTAAAAAATCTCAGGAACAGGGCCAGGTATATAGCTCAGCAGCAGGAGCACCTGCTTGGCAAGCACAAGGTGCTGAGTTTGATTCCTGATATATAAAAAAAAAAGTATCAGGAACAGGGCACTAATTATTTTCACCTAAGGTAATCTATAAATCCCTGTGCAACAAGTAAGGCTGAATTGTGTTTATCTGCAATCTAGTTGTACATACATGCTACATATGATGCGCCTTGTGTGGTACAAAAGGAATAGGGTTGTTGGGCTAGCATGGAAATTCACCATTAATTCTGCGGTCATGAGCCAATGCTCCGTCAATCAATCTTTCTCCTAGATCTGCATGTTCATCTTTCATGCTAAAAAAACCTTCTTTCTCTCTAGTTACCATTCTTTCCATGCATAGCTACACTTCTTTTATGTTTCACTGTTTTTTGTCTTTCTGAGACAAAGTTTTACCATGCAATTCAGGCTGGCCTCAAACTCACAGCTATGCTCCTGTCTCAGCCTCCCCAGTCGTGAGATTACAGGGATGCACCACTATGCTCGCTAGCTAAGCTTAGCTTTTTCTATCTGCTGCTCCCCTTCCTAAAAGCTTGGACAATGTTACAGTTTTCAGAATGAAGTTCAGAGGCTTGTTGACACCCACAGTCTATGAGCTGGCCTCCCAGGCTCTTGCAGCTCTTCTGAAGCATATGCATTTCCAGATTCATCCTGCAGCCAGAGAGCCTCGGCCTCTGCAGGGTGCGATCCCTCCTCTCCTCTCTCCAACACAGATGAGCCTTTCCAGAGTGGGAAGTCCCAGGACCACTTTAGCAGAGTTGCACCCTCCTAGGGAGTGAGGCCCAGGCCTGGCTCTCTCCAAACTTTACATATTGGAGGTTTCTCCTAGTAAGTGGGGTTAGTCTCCTTGAAGACAAATGCTTTGCTAGAACATGGTGAATATCACAAAGCTAGAAAATTAAGTTTCCTAGGGCTGGCGAGATAGCTCAGTGGACTATCTGAGGGAACCAAGGCCTTTCCTGTGAAAGAAGGAAGGGGGTCTGCGGTCAGCTCAGTTGTTTAAGCGCCTGCTCATGCAAATGCAGTCAGGCACAGGATACCATGGTTCAATCTCCACCTCCACCTGCCTTACCAGACCCGCCCTTAAGGCAGCCTGAGCCACCTTCCCCCCACCAAAAAAAAAATCAATCTCAACTATGCCTACAGCCCTACCATCCTGAATGCGCCCAATCTCTTCTGAAAGAAGAAAAACACAAACGTAGATGGGGAAGGAAAAGAAGAATCCTTACGTCCCAAGACTGCAATTAGAGTCAGATGAGTTAATGATAAACGCCAAGTCCCAATTAATGAGTATTTAGATAGAGAGCAGTGACTAGAGAGAAAGAAGGTTCTTTTAGCATGAAAGATGAACACACAGATCCAGGAGAGAAAAACTGACTGATGGAATGTTGGCTCATGGTAGCAAAATTAATGGTGAATATCCTGCTAGGCCTAACGACCCTATTCCTTCTGTACCGCGTAAGGTACGTTATATGAAGTGTGAGTGGGGTGTGTGTGTGTGTGTGTGTGTGTCTGTGTGTCTATGTGTGTGTATGAGATAGCTACAAATAACGCCATAGAATTATCTGCCAGGGAGTTTGTGGAACAGATTCCTGGCAAAGCAAATTCTAGGTCAAAGGGTAAAAACATAATTGTGCTAAATATTGCCAGACTCACTCTTCAAGGAGGTTGTACGTACTATTTTGTATTCTGGTAGTAATGAACTAGTACCTCCACTATATAGCCTTCCCAACAAACTGTTCTCCAACTTAAAAAAAAAAATCTGGTTGAACGAAAACTGAATCATCATGACAATTCTGTTGTCATGAGGTTGATCATCTACTCAAATACTTGTCCTGCTGAGCTATATCCCTGGCCTCAAATCACCTTCTGAAAGCCTCCCCTCTCAACACCTGAGACTTGTGGGTCTCTAAATTTCTAAACATAGTAGTTACACATTCATAGGCAGGTGTAAAAAAAAAAAAGTATACCAGAGGTCCTCTATAAACTTCATTCAGCTTTTACCTATGGAAACAACTTGCACATGTATAATACAGTATCAGGAAACTGAAATACGATATAGTATCATTCATTTGAGTAAGGGAGGTCCAAACAAAGAGCAAACAATGAATGGGCAGAAGGAAACAAGGAGATAGACCTTTTGCAAATGGGAAAGGTCCAGAGGGCAAGGGGAGAAGGGAAGGAGAAGATTTAAGATGTCTCACAGTAAGGCCAGCAAGATAGTTTAGTGGACTAAGCACCTACTTAGGTAAATGCAGGGACTGGGGTTCAATCCCCAATACCACATGCTGTGCCAGAACCACCCCTGGGCATGCTGAGCTTGCAACAGACACCTAGCATGGTGGTGCATGCCTGTAATCCCAGTGCTGGGGAGGCTAAAAACAGGAGGATCACTACAAGTCCAAGCTGTGTAGTGAGACCCTGTACCAAATACATAAATTAGAAAAAAAAAAGATGTGTCATAGTACTAAATACCCACAATAAATGTAAACATTATACATCATAAATATTATACATCATAAATATGATCTTTTTTGGGGGGACTGGCTCAGAATGCCTTCAGGGCATGTTTGGCTGGCTGGAGTTGTGGGGATCGAACCACAGCAACCTGAGCCTGCTGGCTTTGTTGAAGCAGCCACTTGAACAACTGAGCTAAGGGGCAGGTTCCTACATCAGAAATATGAGCTAAGAAAAATAAGACTGCAAATGGGGAAGAGGATTTAAAAACAGAGGGTATGAGCTGGATGGGAAAGGAAATAAAGATTTTAAACGTATGGCCAGGGAGATAGCTCAGGAGAATAAATGCTTGCCTGGCAAGCGCAGGGTCCTCCTGAGTTCAATCCCCGGTACCGCAAAAAAAAAAAAAAAAAGCATGAAGCCACGTCATATATGTACACACACACCTACTCCCTAAAATGAATGTAAACCTCTCATACTGCAAACATGCTAATAAGTTTACCTTTATATACAGTGAGAGCAATGGATTTCATTTTATCCTTTTCCTTATGGGTATCTAGTCATATCTGCCACCTCCTTTTTCAGGTTTTTTTTTTTCCCATCTCCTTTTTTAAATTTGCTTTTTGCAACAGGGTCACGGTAGGTACTCCAGGCTGAACTCGAACACACAGCGATCCTCCTGCTTCAGACTCCTGTTACCTGTTTTGTTTTTGTGCTACTTGGAATTGAATGCAGGACCTTGTGTATGCCGGGCAGACACCTGTGCCATTGAGCTACATCCCCAGCCCTCAGACTCCTGAGGGTATGCAGGTGCCACCACACCCAGCCTCTACCACTTTTTTTTTCTCGAACCAGGGATTGAACTCAGGCCCTTGTGCTTACCCAGGATTATTCCACTGAGCCATCTCCCTGGCCCCCTCTACCACCTTTTATTTTTATTTTTTTGTGGCTGGCTCAGCGTACCTTGGGGGCTGGGCTGACCTGGCATGTGGAACCATGGTCCCTGTGCTTGTCTAAGCAAGTGCTTTTAGACCTCGCCAGCCCTCTACCACCATTTAAAGAGTCCTGTTCTAGAGCTGGAGATGTAGCTCAGTAGCAGAGTTCGTGCTTAGTGTGCATGAGGATCTGGATTCAACCCTACATCCAGACCAAAAAAAAAAAAAAAATTGTTTAATGGGCAAGGGAGATAGCTTGGAGGCCTAAGCACCTGCCTGACAAGCACAAGTATCCCTGGTACCCCATGCTGTGCCAGCCTCATGCCAAACTGGCCAAAGCCGGGTGTGGTGGCACTTGCCTGTAACCCCAGCACTGGGGAGCTGAGACGGGAGGATCACTATGAGTCTGAGCCACTAGTGAGACTCAGTACCAAATAAATCAATAAAGACTGGGCACAGTGGCATGTGCCTATAATCCCAGGATTTTGGAGGCTGAAAACAGGAGGATCACTACAAGTCCAATCTATGTAGTGAGACCTTGTAGACCTTGTACTGGAATACAAATAAGTAAATGATTACAAAATTTTTTGTTTTGGTTTGTTTTTTTGGCAGAAACAGGAATTGAACTCAGACCCTTGTGCTTGCCAGGGAAGCGCTTATTCTACTGAGTCATCTCCCCAGCCCCCCAAAATTTTTAAAAGATGTTAAGTCCATTTCATCTACTGATTTGAAACACTGAACTAGCTACTCATACATCAATGTTAGTGTCTAGAGGCTTTAAAAGCTTTTTTTCCCTGCAGTACTGGGGTTGAACACAGAGCCTCACAAAGGCTGAGAAAGTTCTCTGAGCTACCACTGAGCTACATTCCCAGCTGTATATTCCCTATATCACATTTTAATATCTGCAAGTCACTCTCTTCATGACTTTTCATTTTTCAGGAGTCTTTTATTTCGTTCTTGATTTTTATTCTTCCAAATAAACTTTATAATCAATTTGTCTACCTGAAGGGGAAAAAAAAGCCTGGTTGTTTTTATTGGGCTTCAAAAAAAAAGTATAAATTTAACTTAGGGAGAACTGACATCCTTACATTAGCATTCTCAAAATGCTTCATCCGGCCGGGTGTAGTGTGCATGCCTGTGATTTTTTTTTTTTTTTTAATGCCTGTGATCCTATTGAAGCAGAAATCCTGACCTAACTGCAGCCATTTTGTTAAATAAAGCTGCAGGCATTCTGTTCTCTGCCAGTGAACTCAGTTAAATTATATGACTTCTCATCAAACTGATACTTCTGTGGATGTACTAAAAATAACTTGCTACATATATAACTATGGTCATCACAAATACCCATTTTATGCTGGCCTTTAATGACTGGTTATCTCATTCTTATAACTGCTGTTCACTACCCTATAAATTAAACAAGCTCTCTGTAATCAGGACCTCAGACTTTGGAGAATACTCCTCTGGGGTCCACTAGTGTTAATAAAATTTCATTTCTTTTCCTGAGCTCCTGGATACTGTTGATTCCATTTTTCCACACGACATCATCACTCAGAAAGCTGAGGCAGGAGGATCACAAGTTCAAGGCCAGGCTGAACTACATAATGAGACCCTGCCTCAGAAACAAAGATGCTTAACCTCCCAATTCTAGAACATGATATGCTTGCTGCTTCCTTTGTGTACTTTTTGCTTATATAGGTTGTATGAAGTTTATGCCTGGGGGGCTGGTGAGATGGCTCAGTGGTCTAAAGCACCTACTTAGAACAAGCTTAGCAAAGCACAGGGACCGTGGTTCAATCCCCCAGCACCACATGCCAGCCAGCCCCGCCCCCTGGTGGGCTAAGCTGGCCACACACACACACACACACACACACACACGTAAATAAAATTAAAAAAAAAAAAATTTATGCCTGGATTTGCAATGTACTTTGAAATTACACACGGTACCAAAATTTGGATCTGGTCAGTCTTCCAAAGCTCGGCGTTACGTTTAGTCCTCAGCCTGGCACAAGAGAAGGTGGAGTTTTTCAGGAGGCTCCCAGAGTAAGGGAGGCTGGGGTTCCTGGGGATGGCCTGTGCAAGAGAAGATGGGACTCCCACTCCTTCCACTTTTATGCTTTTCAGCTATGGGAGGGAGAAGTTCTAAGCTATGTCACACCCAGCTGTCATATGGTGCCGTGGTACCTGGCCATGGTCCCAATTGATATGAACAGAAACCTCTAACTGCACTAAAATACAACCTGTCTTTACCAGCTGATTATGTCAGGTGGCTGTTACAGGGACGGGAAAGCTAACACACATGGTTCTCTTCCACCATTCCATGTGACTGCTGTGTCCAGTTTGGCACACATTATAAAGCAGCTGGGGATTGTTCAGTTATTTTGATAGCTGTACAGTACCTCCTGGCACCTCTTCACATGTCCCTGTTTCTTGGAGTATCTTTTTATGCAGTACCAATTCCTTTACCCATTTTAAATTGGGCTACATGTGTATTATTGCTATGTATGGTTATGTATTATGGATAGCGAACCACTGCCAATGTTATCTCTGTCCTTACAGAATCTTTATTTAGTTAAGACTCAGTTAACTACCCACTAAATGGGTAAGTGAAACTCAGTCATTGCAGTGGGACCAAAGACTGGTATCTAAGGTTAGGTATCATTCAGGTACCAACTTTAGGAACTTCAGGAAGAGGTCTTACAAGAGATATACTAAAGTAGCTGGGCATGGTAGCATACAGCTGTAATTCCTGTCGAGGGAAGGAGGATCCCAAGTTTGAGCCCAGTCAGTCAGAACAACTTAACGAGGGGCTGGGGAGATAGCTCAGTAGAATAAGTGCTTGCCTGGCAAGCACAAGGGCTTGAATTCAATCCCTGGTTCTGCCAAAAAAAAAAAAAAAAAAAAAAAACCAAACAAAAAAACAACAACTTAAAGACACAGTCATTGAGGTCCTGCCTCAAAATAAAAGTAAAGAACAGGGCCAGCAAGATTGCTCAGCAGTCTAAAGTGCCCGCTTAGGCAAGCACAGGAACCACAGTTTGATTCCTGGCACCACATGCCATGCCAGCCCTGCTCCCAGGGTGGGCTGAGCCGGCCACAAAAAAGAAAGAATTAAAGAAGGGCTGAGGGGCTGGCCAGATAGCTCCGCAGATTAAAGTACCCGCCTAGGCAGATGCAGAGACTGGGATTTGATCTGCAGTGTGTACTGTGCCAGCTCCATCCCCCGGGTGAGCTGAGACAGTGATGGAGACTGGGCATGGTGGCATGCGCCTGTAATCCCAGCGCTTGGGAGGCTGAAAACAGGAGGTTCACTAAGAGTCCAATCTGTGCAGTGAGACCCTGTAGACCTTACACATTTTTTTCAAAGAAAGGGGTTGAGGATGTACTTTGTTTAGAAGGCCCTGGGTTCAATCTTTGGAACAGTCCCACCAAAGAGGGCATAAGGAGACATACTAATACAAAAGGAAATGCATTTCTTATATCAACACTAAAAACCATCCACTGTGCTATAAAGGTTAAAAAAAAAAAGACCCATTAAACAGCCAGCAAGGTGTAGTTCAGCTCAACTGTAATATCACTAGGAAGCTGAGGCAGGAGGACCCTAGACTGGATCCCAAAGGGGGAAACTTAGCAAGACCCTGTCTCCTAATTAAACAATGCAAAAGCCCTGCGTCCATTTCATATATCAACTTCACCTCTCCTATTTTAGCTAGGGCCCACAGCTAGTGACCCAAATATAATAGGTGCCCATAATTAATAGTTGATAAAAGGATTACAAATGTTAATCTAGCACCCCATCTAAATACGGGAAAAGGAGTTGGGGAGGTGAGCTTAGTGCTGAAGACTGGAAGAACGGCTACTCAGAAGGCTGAAGCAGGAGGATTACAAGCTTTAAACCTTCCTGGGCAACACAGGGAAACCCTGTTTCAAAAGAGGGGATGCGAGTGCAGCTCAACGGTACAGTCTTTGTCTAGGCACTTGGTTCAATGTCCAGCACCAAAAAAGAAGGAAAAAAAAAAAGTCTTGAGAAGCCAACACTAATACATATCCTAGAAATACACACTAGCAAGAAACTTACACAGCACATTCTCCTACCATCACCACCCCAGCCCCAGCGCGCGGCTGGACCTTGAAAGGGTTGGGTCCCAAGGGCCCAGACGAGGACGCGGTCGGTGGGCCCGCAGCGACCCACCCATCCCGAGACCTTGAAGGGACACCGGGTCAGAGCGGGCGCGCTTCCTCTCACGCCCCGCCGCCGCCGCCTCCCGATTGGCCCAGAGCAGAACGTGCGGCGGCGATTGGCCGGGCGGCTCCTGAGGGCGGCCAGGCCCGCCGCTCCTGAAGGCTGCGGTGCTAGTGGAGGAGCCGTGGGCCGGGGACAGCAGAAGGCCACCTGCAGAGACGCCGCGCCCTCACCGCCAGGCGCGGACCCCCAGCCGCGGGCGCTGCCTTACTGCCTGACGCGACGAGCTCCACGTCCCGTTTCCATGCACGTCGCTGTGCCGGCGCTGGTCCTACCCAGGGCCGCGGTCGCCGCGCATCCTGTGCCACCGCCTTTCCTCCCTAAGGCCGCTGCTATATCTGCACCGTCCCAAACGCCCAGGGTGCAAAAAGCGACCGAATTCCTTTACCTGGACGACCCGACTGGCAGACGCCATCTTGCTGCCCATCATGACCCCGGGAAGGGGCAGCTTCCGGGGCGCGAGCGAGCTGCGGCGGTATCTGGAGTCCCCGGCGGCTGGGGGCGGGGCTTTGTGGTGACGTCACGGTGGGCGGGGCTAGGGAAAGCGAACGGGGCGACTTATTGGGCCGGCCCCGCCCCTCCGGCCCGCCCCGCCCCTCCCTCTCCAGCCTAAGAACTGAGCCTTGTTTCTTTCTTTCTTTCTCTTTCTTTCTTTCTTTCTTTCTTTCTTTCTTTCTTTCTTTCTTTCTTTCTTTCTTTCTTTCTTTCTTTCTTTCTTTCT